TCCTTGTGGTGAACTTCTGGGGGAAGCGGAAGCTGGTTTGCAGGAAGTTTTGCCTTTGAGGAATCCGAGATGGGATAGACCTACACTCATCTACAGAGGGTTTTTTTTTTTTTTGGTTGCCCAGTATCATCATCATAAATCTTTTCTAGCTCATATGAATTCAGTTAAACTGATCATCAGATCAGGTGTCAGGGAGGAATACATCTCCAGCTCAGACTGACAGAGAGCACTGGGGACTTTTGTTTTCTTCTACAAGTTTTACCTAACAGATTTCCTGCTATGTCATCTCGAATGAGTAAGTGCAGGGCTACAGCTACAGCCTGGAGCTTATTCACTTGATGGATACAATATTTAACATCTTACAAGTATATGTTGGTAGTAATACATGTACACCAGCACTTAACATTCCCAAAACTATCACTTACATTCATTTCTATACACAGTGTATGCACAAAGTCTCCCCGGTAACACTATAAAGATCATTCTCAAAATAGGATTCACTCCCTAAATGAACATTTCCATTTATTTCTAAAACAATTAGCTTTTGGTAAGAAAAATAATAAATACATTTTTTTGTAGAAAAGAACAGTGTGCTCAAGTGAGTATCACACGGCTACAATTGACTTCTTTGTTATAACTTTTCTGCTGAGAAAGAAAAACTGATAAATAATGGGTGGTTCTCTATTGTTTATTCTTCTCACTAGGGATAGGGAATAAATTCTAAGCTAGCATTTACAATGTTACACTTACAATTGGAAAAAACACTAACCAGTTGCCCATAGTCTCTTGGACGCTTTCTGGTTTCACTTTACTTACAATCTACTGAACCCCCTCAGTGGTAAGAGACATGTTTTCCATCTGCAGCCCTGATAATTAAATGAACTGAAGTCAGATTGTTCTGGCAGGAGGCTTTGTAACAAAGTAGTAAGTGTTTTATAACTACCTCCCCCCGCTTTTAGGCTGGACGCAATCCACTTCTTCAGTGCATATTTCCATGGCATACTGCATGCTTCTGCAGAGAAGGGGCAGTCTTGAAAGCTGCAGCATGGGGGTGGAATAACCCGAGAGGAGCTTAGTGCGTAACCATACCAATAGAAGACATCTTCTTGATCCCATCATTTTGGATTAGCCTGAGTTTTTTGGCTGAGAGTCAGTCAGCACAGCCGTTACATGCTAATCCTTTTTAATAAAAGGATGCCTGCATGAAGCAAACCAAACCCCATATGCAACACCCTTGAGAGCAGTGGTACCAGCAAAGCAGCATACCCATTGCCTAGCTGACCATTCCTTTTACCCACCACTGTTCATCTCTTTAACTACCAGCAAGTCTCTTCTCTTAAAAGAAATAGTAATTAAAGTCCAGATGATAACTGAATCACCTGGCAAAGGGCCTACCTGACTAAAACAGAGAGAGTATTTTCCTTAATAGACTTTAATACACACCATTATTAAGACTTGGCTTTTAGTTCTCAATTTCTCAGACTTTTAGCAGCTTGGGGAACTGCTCAGCAACAAACGTCATTTCTACTCAACAGCGCATTCAAAAAAAATGCATCAGCTTCAGCAGCCACAATGATGGGATGTAATCTTTTTCCAGGTCTTTCAAAGCAGATATGTACAATTTGGAGGGTTAGCACTTAAAAGCTCCTCCTCCCATTCTTCAAAATTGAGGACAAACTTATTCCCTGATCCATGAGAACTGACTGCAAAGTTAAGAGCAGGGCAATCATCTCCATCACAAAGTAAAGATGGGTGTTTCCCTACCTACACCATATACAGTTATATGCGTCATGGCAAAGCATACAAACAGATCTGCCCTACTACATTTTTCTGCCTTTTTTTTTTTTTTTTTTTTAAGAGCACCCCTTTGTCTGGGCATGTTTTCAGCTTCCCAGTGTCTCTCCTCCTACAGAGGAGCCCCAAAGTCAGACGCTAATTCAGGGCAGAGGCCCATTTTCTCCTGTTGAACATGTAGGAATATCTTATGAGAAAGCATTTTGTTCACAGAAACTAGCTAGTCTTTATTTGATTGAAAGATTGTGGTTTGTTAATCATTTCATCTCAGGAACTGGAAAAATGCAATAAAAACCAGCTCATTACCTTTTTTTTTTTTTTTTTTAAAAAGTATCATAAACTACTTGAAGGCCGTGTCTGTAGTGTACAGCACGGCGCTGTGTTGATGATCCCAAGAGGTCAAGTGAGTCATTTCAACATCTTGCAGAATCAGTAGGTTGAATCTAAAACCAGCAAAGCAGCTTCAGTAAAGCAGCTTCATTGCTATGCCCAGGATAACTACAGCACCTCCCAAGTGCACCCAGCTGTAAAGTAAACACCAATTTGCATATCACTGTCTTATGGTCTATTGCACAATGAAGTCGTACCCTTAATGCTGAAGTAAAGGAGTTGACCTATCTTGGGTAATAAAAGAAAGATTACATTAGTGCAACTAGACATGCTATGAAGTGTGGAACTAACACTCAAAAGGCTTCACAGAGAGCTCAGGTTCAGCAAGGTCTATTCCTCAGGACTCACCGCCCTGCCCTACTCAAGGTGGCTCCTGCACTAGGTTTCAGAAGAACTATTAACCTCAGATATAGCATCATTCACCCAGCACTGCACCCGAGTTTAAAAGCATTCCTGGAACACAGAGCTCACAGGAACATCTTGCAAAGATGTAAAGAAAGAGCTTGCATCTCTGACCTAACATGCCTTGCAAATCTGAAACAGCTTCAACACAGTGAGCTGAGACCTCTCAGAACTGCACTCCTGAAAGGATTAATTGGTGGACCATGCTGCACGAAGAAAAAAAGCCCAGAAAGTCACATCTGTGTTGTGCCAGTGCTGCACAACAGCAACTGGAAGCAGTTGCCATTGAGTTCTGGGAGATGCTGCTTGGGCAGTGGTGACTACATGGAACCAGCTTTGGTGTTCATCTCCTTCCCTCATGTAACCTACAGCCTCAAAGAACTTCATAGAAAAATCAGGAGCTGAATTTGCAAAAATTGTCCGTTTACCTTGTGTTGTCTTCACCAAGACTGTACAAGAGAACTTCATAACCCTTAATGTGTTTATCATCTCCTTTGTGAAGAAGTACTATTAGCTTCATTAAAGCACCTCCATTATTTTTTCTGTTGATAATATATATGGGGAGGATAGGAGATGGCTTAAGTTGTTTATTGTTCTCTTTAATGTAGACACATATTAGCTGTAGAGCTTAAATAAATTACTTCTAGTTAGCAACCTAAATACATAACATCATGGCTAGAGTCATAAAGCAAGGAAACAAAGCCAGACCTCAAATCCTAAGCTCAGGCCATGACCATTAGAGCACAGTGTTAGGATCTTCACTAGCCACTAGAAGTGATGTGACAAACAGTTCAATATTCTGATTTGATCCATTATCCAAAATACAGCCACAGCACACAGGTTATTTTAGGAAGGGATGTCAGGGAAAAGAAACTATTTCAGCTCATGAGAACACAAATAGAACCACTGAAAAATGAATCATCTGAGAAAACTCAAAAATTACATGGCTCCAGCATCTGGCAAAATAGTGATGTTAATCTGACATCATAGATCATTACTGTCAAAAGCCAATCAAGCATAGGAAAAAAAAAGAAAGAAAAAGAAAAAGCCACAAAGGACATCTATCGCAACCCAATTACTCCTTAATATTTCAAAGGAAAGAATGGAGGAAAAAAGAGGTAGAATTACACGAATTACATAAATATCAAGTTTAAAAAAAAAAAGGGGGGGGGGGTGTGGAGAGGGAGAGACTGAAGTGAAAATAATACCAATACTGCATTTCTTACCAGAGCATTACAAAATGCACTGAACATTTGTGATACAGCAGTGATGTGTTGTTTTCATTTGACTTTGTTTTTAAGAAGCTGCTGTGGATCGTACAGTTACAACAGCAGATATACACACCTGGAACTGCCAAAATTGTCACAGCAACTACGCGTTTGCAACAGCAAGCCACAGAGTAAAGCTGATTCTTACTATGCCACAGTCAGACTAAAAATATGTCCAAGCAGGCATTGTCATTTAACCTGATGACTGCCCAAGGACCGCTGAAAAGTAGCGAATGCCTGATGCTGGACATTGAGCGTCCTCCACTGCCACTGACGCTCCTACAAATTGCGTTAGTCAGCGCTCCAGGCCCAAGCGTAACATGTGCAATCCCCCCCCTACCTCGGTATACCATCACCAGAGCTTCACAGCTCCTCAGGCATGTGGGGGAAAAGACACAGGAATAGGCTGCCAAAAAGTACCATGAGAGTGCAGTATGTTAGGATCTAACTCTGCACTCCTCAGTGTCCCAGGCAGTCCCGCTCACTTCACAGGGTCTCTTCGCGCAGGTAAGAACTGTTCACTCAAATAAGGGCTCCTGCCTGCACCGTTCCAGCAGCCAAATCACTGCCAGTGATTCGCATTACTGCTGTCACTACTCAAGCACTACCTCTGTGCTGCCAGGGACTACCCTCTGGGCCAGCCACAGCACAAACATGATGGTGCACACCCAGGTCATGCTCTGCGGAGAGCTAAATAGGTTCCTTGATGAGAGGACTAGGGGAGCAGAAAAGCCAACTGTAAGCTGGAGAACACAGTTGGCCATGGTCCCAGTCCCATGCGCTGTACAGAAACAGGACGGGCTGCAACACATGGCTAAGGGATCCAGAACGCACCGAGCCCACAAACAGCACAGGTGCAGCTGCTGCGGCCGGTTCCAGCCTGGTAACAAACAGTCCCACAAGGTAATGCAGAAGGCATACGCCTTGCATGCTCTAGAACTGGCTTTTAAATACGGCATTCAGATCGAAAGAATCCAGAAGAAGAGTTACGTATTTCCCAGTAACCACATATCCTCACGGTGGTAAGGACAGCTTTCTGGACTCAAAAGAAACGCAGAATCAAATTCAAGGATTCTGTTAACGCTTTTTTAATTCTCTGTTCACTGCAAAACTAAGGAGTGAAATAGGTTGAATTAACATATTTACCTGTTATGAATGGGTCCTCTGAATTTTGGATCAAATTTCCTTGGTTCACCTGCATTTAAAATAAAATAGTATAAACATATGTCCTTATTAAAAATATAATCTACATGGAAGGGGGTTTTAACAGCAGTCCTTTAGGAACATCTTCCCTGTATTCCCATTTAACCAGGTCTATTAAAATAACTTCATGCAAACGATATCAGTCATTCACCAATACAATTACTTAGCAATTGTTGGTAAGATCAAAGTTTTTCCCCCTCTAGCTTAAGAGCTTTGAAGGCCATTACCACCATCTTTAACGTACATCTCCTCTTTACACCTATGCATACTGTTCACAGTAGAAAGTTGCTGATAGTTTGAGAGCCACATGCTAAGTGTGTGAGGCAGCACGGAAGTGACCCTACCTCTCCGGAGCTGCAGGCTAAGCCCTGTTGATTTTTCTCTAAACAAATGGTTCAGAGTCATGCCTGGACTTCAGCATAACTGAGATCCTATATTACAGTCCTGTAGAATTATTTTTACTTCCTGCTGCTTTGGTTACAAAACTTTGCAAGCGTCAAATTGCAGAATACAAGAATAACAGCCCAAAAGCAGGCGCTGTAGATGACCCTGCTTGAGCAGGGGGGGGTTGGACTAGCTGATCTCCAGAGGTCTCTTCCAACCTCGGCCATTCTGTGATTCTGTAAATGCATCATCAGAAAGTCAGAAGGATTTTTTTCCTAATACATTAGACTTAACTGCAGCTCAGCTTTGCTCTTGCTTCCATAGGGGTTAACAGATGACAAACCATGGCTGGAGACTGCAGGAATTCAGTATTGACCCTGCCCTGAGCCAGATGTCATGCTGGAGACCTCACTATCACCCCAATGGTTTTATGATTATAAGCAGGACAGGAAGGACTCTCTGTGGGTCAGATTTATTGTTGCCTAGCATCTTACACGTTTATCAATGCTAGTGTAATGCAGGCATCATATTATTTACTGCTATTTTGATCAGGAAGCACTACATTCAGTAGTAAGTTTGTTTGCTACAAGTTCTTGGTTTTGAGCGTGCTAGGGAAGAGAAGCCTGAAAAAGAAGCTGAGTAGGTTTTACTGGTTGTGGTCTTCTGCTAATGCACCCTGCTGCTTACACACCATAATGCTCCCTAGCCCTTACAGCCTTAGTCAGATAAACTTGTTCAGGCGCTGGTGGAAGCTCTGCACAAGCCAGAAGACAACAACCAAGCTATATTGTACATGACGGACAGCGTCGTCAGCAGCTCCAGCACAGAACGTGCCAAGCTCACCAGCAACATCATTTTCCTTCAGTCAAATGTGTAGTTGTATGTTGATGTACAAGCTTGAGAATGATAGTCATGAGACAACCCATCCACTTAAGATACAAATGATACCAACAAACAGGAAGTAGTGTCTGGTTTTACAGATCTCTACCCCCCAAAAAAAAAAATCACAATACTCACAATACTTGTACAGTAAGCTGTTTCCTAATTATTTTAGCGAGCACAGCCATTCAGAGCAGTGAACACCTGTCAGTTTGCTAAAAAATTAACCAAGAAATGGTGCTTATGAGCTTTACATTTCTTATAAATCACTGACTAAAACATGGACAAAGATAATAATTTCAGTACTTAGGGGTACATTTTTCCAGTTATTTTAAAATAACCATGATTCCAAATGAATTTCTTCTAGTTTCATACTTCAGAGAAAATGCTCAGTGCACTTTACCTCATCTTAAACTCTATTTATTCTGAGAAGTACTAATATTCTAATTGCTAATTTAAGTTCGAGATAAAATGCTTTTCCTCAAATCCCTTGAAGTTGAAATTTGCTTTTACTGAAGCTATGTTTGTTCATTTAACACATAAGACAGAGGGTTTGTAAAGCTGACTTTTTAAAGGAAAGCAAGAATGAACATTCTTCAAGGAAGCAAAGGAACGCCTAAAATAACCTTAATGTAAAACTTTTCCATCGAGAGTTTTTATGATCTTCTAGTATTCTGCAAAACTGTAGTGGTTCAGTATTCTTACAGCAAGAACCATTCTGCGTATTAGAATAAATACACCATTCTTCTCTTTACGCACCTGACTCCACCCAAACATAAACAAAATCCTTCCAGATTGTCAGAGGAATAAAACAGTATTTTAAGAGATAGGCTTCCACAAAGTAAGTTCTAAAACGCAGAGAGTTTACTAGCCAGACAATACTTTCTAAGGAGTACATAAACTATATTTTTTGTATAGAATTCATCAATTGATAATTAAAATATGCAATGGACAAGGTGTTTTCTATTGAGACCAACCAATGGTTCCCACTAGGACTTTCCTGCCAGATGAGTTGGCTCTCTTTTCATCTCTGCCCTACTGGACTTACTTTCTCCCTTTTCTGAGATCAGCCACCACAGAGCCCTACGGTGCATGTGTGCCAGCACACGCACACACACGCACAGAGTCCCCAACAGCTCCATGAGCAGCTACCTTCAAAATAACCTGCTTCCCTCTGCTACTGAAAATCATGAGTTTTACTCTCCAGAATATACTTTTCTGTGCAGAAAGAAGAGGCACATTTTGTACCATGTACTACATTCACAGACTTCATTATAGCATTAACTCATTTCTAACTCATTCATGTCTATGAACTCCATCAAAACCTTAACGGCACGTGTAACGCAGCAGGGCAACTTCCAGCTGGCTCAAGTCCAGCTAGCAAGACCGTGGGCAGAGGGAGCTGCCGTCTGCGCCTGCCTGCGTGCGCATCCCTGAGGCAGCACACGCACGCACACAGTCTGCTTCGTAAGATAAAAAAAAAAAGTGAAAAACAAAGTACAGTTCACACAGCAGGTAAGGGTGGCTGCACAGAGTCCCTCTGTCAAACGCTCATGGTTGATGGGGCTTTCCTGCCCCTTCTCCTTCAACTAGTAGATGTTGGCACCCTCAGCTTTGTTCGTCTAATCTGAAAGTCTATCCAGTGTCACTCAAATGTGCTTTAATCTAACATCTGCAAATGCAGCAGTGTTTGCAAAACCCACAACTTCCTTTGATTCGGCGTTCGGGCTAGAATTCCTTCCAGAGCTCTGGAACATTTAGAACAGCTCTGCTCTGTGCTGCTAATAGGAACTTTGGTGTAAGCCGCGTGAAACCTTGGTAACAATCTCCATTAATTTCATTGTCAGATTCACCTGACATCTTTAAATCCAAAATCCCTTTAGGCTGCAATCCTGTAAATACTTACATATTCAAAGAACTTTTTGTTCAGGAGAAGTTTCATTAGACTCCTATCCCTGGAGTTATGCGCATGCTAAAACGTTTGCAGACATGGCGACCACAGGCTGTACTCCAAACTAATCATAGTAAAGGGATTATGGGTCAAATTCTTACCTGGCGAATCTCCACTTGTATAAATCAAGAATGAATTTAACCCAGGAGATTTCTGGTGTTTCCTTACACTGATGACAGCTAGAGATTTTTTCTCTCCCTTTCTGTCAAGGCTGCTGCTCACCATAGAAAGCAATGTATTGTAAGTCAGAGGCATTGATTTTCAGCAGATCAGTGTCCCTAATACAGTAACACGTTCTAATTGTGTAACGGAGTATTTTTGAGTAAGCACACAGATGCCAAAGATCAGCCTGTTTTGTGTCAAATAGTTGTCTCCCACATGCCTAGGCTGTAGAATGTCTTCAGCTGATAAAGACGTAACAGAAAATCTCCAGACCTACAGTTAAAAAGCAAGCCAGTACTTCTGAGAGACTCAGCTTTTAGCCACTTATTTATAGAGACCTGGAAGGGGCCAGAGTTTCAAAGAGGAAACATTTGGCTCTTGCTAAATTATCTCAAGCTGGGCATCAAAAGTGGAGGCTGCCAAAAAAACTTCTTTTTAAATGTAGGCTTCCTTAAATTTGAAAGAGGGCATTGTCAGATCCCAGAGAGTTAATTGCTCTCTCATGTAACTTCTAATTAAGTCATAAGCAGTCCTGGAGGTCTGAAACGTCACTTGCCATGCAGGGCCAGGAGTTCACTACTATGCAGTGGCTTTGGCATGCTCTGCATTTTAAGCAGCCAGGACTATATATATATATGTATGTATATATGTGTGTGTGTGTGTGTGTGTGTATACATACATATATACACACACACACACACAAATACATACACCCTCATGCAACATACAGATATGTAAAATACTGGCCAAGGATACTGCAAGGGAGATATTTGCCTTTAAGGAAGTACATAAAGAGGTCATCAATACTTCCCTTTATGAAGAACCTGCTTATTTAATATTTTTTCCTAAAACTAAGCCCTTTAAAAGAACAAAAAAGAGTCAATCTACCGCGACTCTATTCATCTTTGGTAGGAACTTTGGCTTCATTACTACTAAACATACAGCCAAGATACAAAAGTTAGCACAGGTACAAAATCAGAATGAGACTGGTTGTTAATTAACTACCTGTTGATTGAATGCAGTACAGGCTCCATCACTCATTTATTTGAGATTAAAACACTGGTTACAATAAGCCTGAGAATTCCAGATATTTTCAGCTCTACCACCATTACAGTCAATTTGAAGTTTGCCTTTTCATTCAGAATACCCAGAACAGGTTACCTGAATAAGAGTCAAAATTACAACACTTCCGCCTAGAAGACTCGGTGAAGCCATAATGGGAAGAGACAGTGATGGATGCATTGGATGGATGAGGATCCAGAAGAGCACGCACAACTGAGGAAGGAAAAGGTGTCACAGCACGAGGGAGACAGATAAACAACAGTCCTGTTGTCAAAGAGGGTATTTACCAGGTGCGCTGACAGAGCAGCTTCTCCACCTTGCCTGCTGCAGCACAAGTTTTTAAGCATACGCATCCTAAATTGTCACATTCTCCTTTCAGCTCACCTACAGCTATCCATCGGGTTTGAAAGGGCTATCAAATAACTGTAACTATGCAGTACATATAAAAATAAATCAGTACCAATAAACACATTTATATCTAGATATATGTATCTAGATGTGCAGTGCACATCTAAGTTGCTTCATATGGATAACTAGAAACACTCATTTCAAACAGTTAAATGATCATATCGTAAATACACTCTCCTAGTGCTTTAACAGAATCCCGTATGTAATCCTGTAAGTCAGTTACAGCTAAAGACATTCGTCCCAAACTTTCTATGAAAAATCTCAGAATATTCAAAATTTTCAGGTGAGGATCAAGCCTAGAATACATAACACAACAGAAAGAGACATGAACAACTGTGTTGGGAGTTTTGAAACAGAATATAATGACACTTTGGAGCGTAACTTAAAACTGAGCATGTCTAATAAATAGTCATGTTTGCAAATATTTGTTACTCTTGTGGATGAAAAGCACAGTGTTAGGTAAAATCCTGGCCTCCTGAGAACTACTAAACTTTCGTCTAGCAACTACTCTGGCATAATGCCAGCACTGCTCTCAAATCATTACAGTCTACTTTCTCTG